CTAGAGAGTGAAATTTTTGCCCATTCTTCTTTGCAAAGTAGCTCAAGCTCTGTCAGATTGGATGTAGAGCATCTGTGAACAGCAATTTTCAAGTCTTGCCACACATTCTCAATTGGATGTAGGTCTGGACTTTGACTGGGCCATTCTAACACATGAATATGCTTTGATCTAAACCATTCCATTGTAGCTCTGGCTGTATGTTTAGGGTCGTTGTCCTGCTGGAAGGTGAACCTCTGCCCCAGTCTCAAGCTTTTTACAGACTCTAAATGGTTTTCTTCTAAGATTGCCCTGTATTTAGCTCCATCCATCTTCCCATCAACTCTGACCAGCTTCCCTGTCCCTGCTGAAAAAAAGCATTCCCACAGCATGATGCTGCCACCACGTTTCACGGAGGGGATGATATGTTTAGGATGATGTGCAGTGTTAGTTTTCCACCACACATAGCATTTTGCTTTTAGGCCAAAAAGTTCAATTTTGGTCTCATCTGACCAGAGCTCCTTGTTCCAGATTTTTGCTGTGTCCCCTACATGGCTTCCTGCAAACGGGACTTCTTATGGCTTTCTTTCAGCAATGACTTTCTTCTTGACACTCTTCCATAAAGGCCAGATTTGTGGAGTGCACAACTAATCCTGTCCCTGTGGACAGATTCTCCCACCTGAGCTGTGGATCTCTGCAGCTCCTCCAGAGTTACCATGGGCCTCTTGGCTGCTTCTCTGATTGATGCTCTCCTTGCCTGGCCTGTCAGTTTAGGTGGACGGCCATGTCTTGGTAGGTTTGCAGCTGTGCCATACTCTTTGCATTTTCGGATGATGGATTGAACAGTGCTCTGTGAGATGTTCAAAGCAAACATAAAATCCCAATAAAATACATTTACATTTTTGATTGTATCACGACAAAATGTGGAAAATTTCAGTGGGTACAAATACTTTTTCAAGGCACTGTATGTGCACACTTATTAGGCAACTATTAGTGTGCAAAATTATTATGCAACAAAATGAAAAACGAAAATAGTGAGAATAATAAACAAACAACTCTAACTCTAACAAAATTAACAAATAAACATTTCTGAGATTGAAAAAAAAAAAAAAAAAAAATCAGTGACCAATATAGCCACATCTTTTGAATAAGAGCCCATTCACACTTGTGCGACTTGTCATGTGACTTTGGTGCAATTAATATTTTTTTCTTAAAGGGTAAACTTATCCTTCAAAGAAAAAAGTACATGTGTTTGAATTGATCTATTAAGGGGCATTATGAATAGGTTGTCTCAACGCAAAGTATGCGAATGTGCATGCATTATCGCACTGCAGCAAAGTATTTATGTCTCAAAGGGTCCTTGTCCTTGAGGAATGCAATGTACCTGTGTTAGAAGAGAAAAAATTTTTACCTGTTAATGTGTATGTAAACCTTAATAATGAAGTTCTCTTACTTGCTCCCTTGAAAGTTGTTGTTTTTTTTTTTTAATATCGGTTTGATATGTGCAAAAGGTGCCTGTTGATTTTGCCAGAAATATTTTGAGTGTATAACTTCCTTAGTAGATTAAAAGGGATGGAGGATATAATGAGGGATCTATGCTCTTTGTGAACCATCAGAAATGAAGTAGGCAGGGTCGATTCGAATTCGGAGCTTTGTTGTCATGTCATAGAGGAAAGTGTAAGTCAGTGTTAATTGCGTTGCAGAAAATATTCTCGTCATAGTTTTTGTCAGCGGCATGTTTTCAGTGCCGAAAACTATAATGTAAATCAATTCCAATTTTTGTCAATGAATGAAAACGGAACAAAAATGTGAGGGAGGGATGTTTACCCACCTGAACTGCTTTCCTTGGTGCTCCGCTTGTAAAGCCTGCAAACCATAGTGAGTGTTTCCCCCAAAGTAGAAGTGCCTAGTGGCGTGCTTAGCACTGCAGTATAGCTTCCCCAGACCGTTCAATTCTCTGCCCTCACTCTGTGCACTCCCTCACTCTCATATTAAATTTTTACTCACGGAGTATAGAACGCATTTGGAAATTCTATAGAAATGCCTAAATGATGCGACTATTTATTTCAAACGATTTTAGTTGACTAAAATGTACTGGAGAGTTTAGTTGACTAAAATACCACTAAAACTAAAACAATTCAGGTGGCTAAAATACAACTAAAACAAAAATGGCATTTTAGTCAAAAGACTATGACTAAAACTAAATTGAAATTTTACATCAAAATTAGCACAGGTAGGAGAACACTATATTCCTGGTACATCAACAGTTTTTTTTCTGTCTTGCCATATACTTTAAAAATAGGGATATTCCCCATGTAATTAATCAATGGCCATTATTATTCATGTTCCTTTCCCTTTAAAATATCTGTAAAAGAACTGGAAGAAAAAAAACGCTGTCTCCATACATTTATTGCCGGCATTACCATTAAAAGTCTCACGCTGCATCTTCAGTAAACCAACAGCTAGAAACTACAGGGAAACTCACAATGCCTCTTCCACCTTACTGCTTTTTATTACATAGGCTCTCATCTCCTTAAACTCATTGCAAAAGGATAAGGAGAGAATATAAAAAGACTAATTACTGAAAAAAGACCCCACGCTGCCCAGGGGAAGGACACATGACATACACAATTATTCCACCCAAATGGTCATATACAGCAAAGAAATTGCATGGAATTTAACAAATCATTTGCTAATAACAGCTATTACTTTGTTTAAAACATAGAACATTTACCTTTGTAAAAAAAAAAAAAAAAAAAAAAAAAAAAACAACATTTTCTTTTCTTGTTTTTTTAGATGTTTAGATGTATGAAAAGTGCAAATTTCATATACATAAAGGGAATCTATACAGATTGTTGGTGATTAAAAAAACATATTTTGTAGTTTAATAAAATGATTTTGAATTACTTAAACCCACTTCTTACAGTATAGTGCATTTTTTTTTAACTTTAGACACATGGTAACACCATAAAACAGTGGGTTGCTATAGCCTAGAGGCAGCAACTTGCTTGGAGACACCATGACCAGATCAAACCACTCCATAAAAATGGATGCTGATAATGGTATAAAAAGTAAGGGTTAGGATAAGGAGTGTGAACATCAAAGTACAGCAGATGTTATGCAAATAGCTGCTGTGACACACCCTACTTAGATGCCACCTGATGGCCCAGTTGTTAAATATGAAATACTCAATATAATATTTCAAATTTACGACGTAATATGCTTAAAACATTATTTCTTCCAACATGAGGATCAACCAGAAAAATAAAAATACTATATGTCCTTTTAAGATTTAAAAATTCCTCTAAATGAATCTAGCTACAGGCGCTAGAGGCCTGCAAAAGTAACCGTAACGATCATGAGCACATGATCAATGTCCACGGTCCTCTGATCCACAGTATTAGGGTCATGGTAGGAGCAAGTTTCTAGGACCTATTGCCTGTACTGTGGTTTCAGGTTCCTGTAGATCTGAAGACATCAACCTGACTGCTCATGAGTCACATTGAAACAGAACAGGGGTTATTTTACTAAAACTGACGAGCACAAAATCTGGTGCAACTCTGCAAAGAGGCCAATCAGCTTCCAGGTTTTTTGTCAAAGCTTCATTGAATAAGCTGAAGTTAGAAGCTGATTGGCTACCATGCACAGCTTCACCACATTCTGAGTGCACCAGTTTTAGAAAATCTATCGCAGTGAGTCTTGCTGAAAGTCCTTGATTAGTGTTATGACATACAAAGCAGACACAATTCAGATACCATGGCCCATGGAGGCCACAAAGCTGGGTGATTATGCCTACACTTCCCTCCAAGACAACTCTCTTGTTATCCACTTGCCACATTACCCCCGGCATTAGCCTTAAAGTCTGTCAATTTTCCCTGTTTAGTTTCTGTCATGTTCACCCCACAGAATTCTATAACAAATATAGATTCAAACAATCAGTTTGAAGGACTTTTAATTATTGTGGGCATTTCTTAAATAAAAAATAAATCTCAGCCAATACCTATTGAAATCTTTTACCTCTTAAGGGAAGAACCTGTCAATTTTGGAGATTATGGTTAAATTAAGAGCTCAACAATTATGACATCTGGTCCAGTTTACCCCTTGGGTAAGCCTTGCACAAATATCTATATTTTACTGTTCATTTTGTTACATTTTGTAATGCAGATGCAGTTGTGAAGGCCTTCAATAGTGATCCCAGCACTCATATTAAAAAAAAGAGGCTGTGAATCAGTGACTTCCTATAAGACAAGGGTTTCATCATGAGATCCTTGGCTAGTGCCAAGACAAGTCTACTCCACAGAAAATGACAAAACTGTGTATGATATCAGATGTTGACCTTTTGTCTACATGCCTTTATTGCTGGGAATATAAAACAGTTTTAAAGTATATGTGAACCTTCACCTTGTAAAACAACCCAATTCAGTTTAAAATAGTAATGAAAGGCAAAACATTTGTGTATACATACAAAAAAACTTTATAAATACATGTTTTCCTTTTTTATAAGTGAGATCACATTCCCTCTGTTCTCAGCTGCATAAGGAGCTCAGAGAGCCAGGGGAGGAGAAACAGCCATTCAATGATCTTCCCAGTGAATGGCTGTGGAAGGAGGGTAGGGGGGCGAGTGTCTGCATAAGTCTAATCATTGGAGGAGAGCAGACTCCGTTCTCAGCATGGCCAGACAAATGACTACACTGTGCCCTCTTGCCTAGTGTGATCAGTTTTAATAGGAAAGCAGACGGACTGGCAGAAATACCAAGTTTTTCCCACAAAAGAACATGATACTTTTTCATACAAGTACATGCTATAACTTACATATATCAGTAAAATGAAATGTTGAGGTAACATTCTTAAAAGGTCCTTTCCAATTTCATACAATCGGTTTCCATTTTTTGTGATCACATTTCAAACATACAACATCACAAAAAGCACCATCTTCCCACCATTCTGCAGCTAGCACCACAATTGGGCTATTGATGATTGACACCATATTATCACACATACCTTGCTCTTCTAGGAATACATACCTGACTGTGGAGTCAGAAGAGCCAGTAATGATAACTCGCTCATCATACTGTAGACACAGAACAGACCCTGTATGTCCCGTCAGCACTCGTTTGCATTCCAAAGTATTTTTATCCCATATCTAGTTAAACAAACAGATCATAATCAGGTCAATTAAAGAAAAAAAAAAAAAAAAAAAAAAAAAAAAAAAAAACTTTAAATTAGACAAAATTTATAAAACAAAACAAAAATATAAGAGGCATTGACAGAAAACAGTTGAAAGGGATTTAAGGCTGGTAGCTGGACAACCTTGTATAATATCTAAAGGGAAGCTACATAGGTTTTTGGCTTTACACATTGTTTTTCATTAGATATAGAAAACCCTTATTTTACAAATAAATATGTATTGTAAGCGTTTCCTTTGACCTAGGAATCACAGATAACAGGCGTTCAAAAGAATGTTGGCGTTTCCCTTCAGAATCTTTGAAAGGGAAAGGGGAGGAGGGGGTGTTTAATTACCTGTCTGATTAATAGAGCTGTGTGTAATAGCTTCAGCTAACAAAATATGTGAACTGGATTTAAAAAAAAAAAAAATCTGTTAACAGAATTTTTTAAACAAAGCAGCTAAGAATAGACAGGTTAACATGAAAAGCTGACTAGTGCTCCAGCTCGTGGCAGAATGAATAAAAACTAAATAGTTTTACATAATTCAAAGATATATGAATACATTTTCCTGACCATAATAAAGAAAAATAAATATAAATGCATTCTACAAGTAACACAGTGTCTCAATATGTAGCTTCAGTTCTTCCACATGTACATTCCGCTACAAAAAGCCTTTAAGTAATACTTATGTTACATAGCAGCCAAAAGTTAAACAATTCTTATAGGACAAATAACATTTATACAAACATGTGCACACTGTAAATTTTCTTAAACTAGGATTTGTACTAAACCAGGATTTCTGTAGGATCCTAAGAGACCTCTTACAATACAGAAGTCATGCCAAGCACTGAACCACTAACATTTTCAAAGCTGCAGCAACATTCTGTGAATTAGTTAAATGACAGTTATGTGAAATTTTAGAGCACCTGTATTACAGTAAATACAAGTATTTCTAAGTGCAAATTAATACAACATAACCCAATTTAATTTCAGAAACTCTCTATCAAACTTTTTTTATGTGGACATATTGCCCCCAACAGTTATATACATGTGGAAAAGTAACAGGCATAGATGGAAATACTGGGGTTATGTAAATACACAGCATGCCTCCAACTGTATCTTAAACACTTTCCATCCATGTATACACATATGTGCATCCATGGGCGGCAGAGGTTTATATGCTAAAGAGAGCAGGCTCACTGTGCACTCCCAGCAGAAACTGAGCTGTCAAAGACAGCTCTCAATCTGTAGTAATGATCGGGATCCAGACAGCCAATCACAGTGGACACATGGTAAGATAGACCGTCCCACTTACCAGTTAAAGGGACACCAGGGGAGGCAGGAAAGGGTTATTGAATTTAAAGCAGGGCAGGCCCAAAAAGCAAAGCATACTGTGAGGGGGGTTTATTATAAATGGAGCAGACAGAAACTGTGCATAGCAACCAATCAGGTTGCTTCTATTGTCAGCTTGTTCAGTTAAAGTGGAACTAAACCCTCCTATTCTTTAAATCCATGGATGCTGCCATCTTAGCCTCTGTTTGATCTGTAGTTGCCATGGTGCAGTACGTGTGATCTAATATGACACAAGCCAGTTGTTGGCCTGAAAATTCAGTTAAAAGCACAAGCAAATATGATCATAACTGTTTTAAGAAACTATTAGGTCAATGGGTTTGTATATCTTTAGTGGGATGTAGCGCAAGATGTGCGTGAAAACACAACTTCCATAAGGATGAATGGTCAAAAATATAAATGATTTATAAATATACTGCACCTATTACAAAGAGGTGTAAATACAATCTTAAAATGCACCTGTACTCATACTATGGACATTAAAAGACTTACCGTACATATTCTTAAGAAGTAGTTAAATAGCTTTAAAACAAGCCATCCCTGACCTCTCCAACTGCATGTACTGAGACGTTATTCATTCCCAAGATCACAACAAAGACTCTATAGCCTAGTTTCAGTCAGTTTCTAACAGCTAAAAGCTTTCTTTCAACCGGTTTACCACAAAGGAACACTGAAAATAACTTTCAGGTCTCAGGGAACTCCTACTAATAATGTCTACAGCTCGCAGGACATTGGCATGAACAGTAAGTAGTGGATACAAAAATAACAAAAAAGAATAAGTAATGTGAAATACCTAGCATATTTGACACCCATGGCAAATAATTGTAAGTAAAAATAAAGTAAAACAAATAGTAATTATGGACAGAATAAGAAGGGACTATGAAACTGTAGCGCTCCTTATTATTTATTTCAGGTACTTATATAGTGCCGTCAATTTACACAGCGCTTTACATATATATTGTATAGTCATATCAGTCCCTAACCCTCAAGGGGCATACAATCTAAGGTCCTTCACATTACTGGTCAATGGAGAAGTACTTCTTGCACTGATGAGTGGTGGTAATGGCGATTTATACTGGTGGTCAGCCTATTGCCCTTTTACGCTAGTGGTTAGTGAAGTGCTCTTGCATAGTAGTCAGGGGAGAAGAGTACCCTTAGATTGGTGGTCTGTGAAAGGCCATATTAAACTGGTGGTCAGCAGGAATAATACCTGTTCATTGCTGGTCAGTGGGGAGAATGCCCCTTACATTGGAGGCCATTGGGAGCTACAAAACCCTTAAAGACAGTTGAAAAGATCATTGGCGTCCGTGGTAGCTTATCAGAGAGGCAGAAACTGCCCAATGCTCAAGGAACGTCCAGCAATCTGTAAAAAAAAACCCAAGTGTTCCACAAAACCCTGGTTTATAAAGGCTAGTTTATTGGACCTGAGTGTTTACATGAAAAGACTGGCAGGCTGCTAATATTCTGGTGCAACAGAAAGTAACAGCTAGGCTTTCGGTGCTTCATCTGAAAACTTTAATGATTAACTTTTCCACAATTCCTATAGCTGTAGAGGGTAATACATGCAGTTGTTATAAAAGCTTTTACTACTTTCTCAAAATTTGTAAATACTTTAGTGTGCAGAGTCTGGGCACAACTAGAAAACACAGGTTTTTGAGAACACTTTACTAATCCACAATAGTTGCAAGTCTGGTGTGTGCACTTCTGTTTCCAGCTTTTTTTGCAGTCTGCCACATAGATAGTTCTACACTTATAGGAAAAACTATCAATCTGACATTAGGCTGCAAAAAAGTATGGAACAGAAAGTACCTGGTGCAGGACGTTTAAGGTAGCAGCAACAAGGACACAGAAGCAATAATTGTCTCTGTCAACATTGCACTACCCTAAAGCTAAACAGTCAGTTTCCTGGAAAGCCTTCATTCTGGGGTAGCAACATCAATATTTATTATTTAGAATTTAATAAACTTATCCCTGGAAATCACATGTAAAGACAAGCAAATCAGTTTGCGCTTTTATACAACTACATCATATCTCATTACTTTTTGGAGGTCATACAAGTCACATCCCCTGAATATGCCCTTTGCTAGTTCAACTACAAATGATGCGACTCACACGTTTCATTAGGAGTGATTCACTCTGTAAATGTGTTGGCTCATCTCAAGCTGCTTTTGTTTGCCAAGTTATGACACAAATCTAAAGTCAGCCTTGTAGTCCCAACTTGCTGGTTTATAACAGAGGTCCATAAAATCAAACCAATGGACATAATTTAAGGTAAGGGCACTGTTGCAAATCATATAAATCATGTAAGTTAGGAAAGATAAGACCATTTCCTCCAAAGCATTTTCCAGAATTCACCTTGATGGTATTATCTCTGAGGCCACTCACTATCTTCTGGTCATCATACTGTAAACAGTATACACCTTTGCTTGTTTCACTCCGACAGTGAATTCTCTGTAAACTGTGCCGTCCACATCGCCAATTCGACTCTATCGTCTTGTATGAATAGAAGTAAAATAAACAATATGAGCCATATGTGAAGACAAGAATAAGCAACATCAACCTGTACAGGTTCAAGAAAATGGATGCAATGTCACACCTCTATATCTTGGATGATTTTAGGATAAAGTGCCCTGTAGAAAGAATTAGGTGGGGTTTTTCCATCTGGAGGCTTGTTCTTAAATAGATACTGTCCCCTAGGAGACAAAAGAAATAAGGTGTTAAAGTTGTACTCTGATCAAAATGAAAAGACATGGCATAAACAAAAAAGCAACCACACCCTTTTTAAAATAACATAGTAAGGTGCACATGGAAGGGCTTTGTACAGAGCAAACAAAATGTAGCTCTTATTTTTTGCTCCTTGAGTTTACCAAACTATTCCTTAAAATTCTGTAGGAGTTGCAGCATCTGATCAGCCTATGACTCTGCAAGCTTTTCCTTCGCACTATGCTAAACGAATGCGACCACACCACTTCATATAAGAGCATGTTAAGGCTTATGTTGGGTAGATATTTCCAATATCTTTGAATGGAACACCAAAAAGCTCTAAGTACAGTGATGAAGCACATGCAGAACTGTGTCCTATTCAAAGGAAAAAAAAAAATTTTCGAAAAGAACTAAAAAAGTTGTTGAAAATTAAGGACTCGTTCGCACTGGAATGCAGTGCAGGAAATCTGTGTTACGTGCGCATTTCCCGCAAAGCATTCAAAACACACTGCTGCGCGTGTCAATATAATCCTAACACTCCAAATGCAGGTTACAAGGCAGTGCGTTTGCCTGCACCAGAGCACATGGTACAATCTGGGGCAGAGCAGTTTTGAAAAGGAATCACACAGAAACAAGGACTGCGTTGCTGTACGATTCAGGTGTGGACAGGCCCTAAAAGAAACTAAAAAGGTTAAAAAGGAATTCAGGTGATAATAAAAAATGAAGAATTCAAGAATCGTTTAGTCCAAATGCCAGTCAAGGCAGAGGTGCCTTGACTAATAACTACTTTATAAAGTTAAGGGGCAACAAACTTTTTAGCATGAGTCACCCTGGTCCCTGGGATTTGTCTAGGTATATTCAGCAAAGAAAACTCTTAAAATCTTATGTATGGTCAACAATGTTTACTTTTGTTCTGGATAGAATAAGGAAAGTGTGTGTGTGTTTTTAATTTTTTTCTTTTTTTTCTTTGTCCTATTAGGGAGCTTTAATTTCACTTTCTGGGGTTGGAAGGGAATTCCCCCCTTGCTCAGTTGTCCCTAGTGAAAGAGTATGCTAAACTCTCCTTCTGGTGACAACTGCAACATTTTGGATCACTTTCTCTAATAAGGTAGTGGTCCCTGGAACTGATAAAGGAGGATGAATCTACCCAACAAAAGCACAGACCACAATGAAAGCTTGACAGGTGTTCTAATCTTCCATAGTCTATCCAAAACTGAAAATCAAGTTTTGGCTATACACTTGAAAGGATAGGTTCATCTTATGGAGCATGTTACACATTACTCCCATTTTTAGGGTGTAACATGCTCCAGGTCTGCCCCCTGGCACCCTTCTGATCCCCCCCACCCTATGATAGCGGGCAGGGGTTCTTCTCCATGCACCTGCTGGTCTTTCTGAAAAACAGCATGAATGTGTGGGACTCCACTCACAGAACTGCATCATTTATTCACAGAAATCTGTGAATGAATACACTATAAGTATTGTCCTCCTCTGCGATAGGCAGCCTGTAGTCCTCAATGAACTGTGAGGGTGCTGATGAGTGCTCTCATGGTTCATTGACACATCCTCCAGCTTTGTAACTGCTTGCCTTTATGAAGATACAGGCAGGTAAGCTGGAGGCAGTGTCTGCAGGAGCCTGAATTGTACTGTTCTGCAGGGTCATCAGAAAAAAAAAAATAATAAATGCACATTTTTTTTCCTGCAAAAGGTGAACATAACCTTTAAAGGGAATCTGTGTTATAGAATATAAAGGCTGCCACTGCAGACTTCTCCTTCTGAAATGTTAGTAGTCTGGTTGCCTTGGTCATCCAATGGCATCAGCCTAAAACAGGTAAGTAGACTTGGAGTTCTGAGTTCACTATGACTTACCACTCTGTTCACAGAAAGTATTAAAGCCAGATTTACTTTATTATGTTTTCTAAGTAGAAAAACCACCTTTATTTTTTAGCAAACCTCTCGCATCTCATACACAAAACAAATCAGGACTTCCGATGTGATATATGGTACATAATTATTATAAGAGCAGGAAGACTTGCGAAGCAGAACAAATTGAAATATTCATATGTAAGAAAGCAGCAATATAACATGCCTGTCACAATCCCCCAATGCAGGCTCAATACTAATATTATCAATGTGCTCACTGCACGCAAGATTTTCATTTAGTTTACTAAAAGTATTAGAAGTATCACTTAAGATGCACACATATCTGGCTGGAACACACATTGAAAAAATGCCTCTGTTGATATAGTAAAACTCATTTTACATAATCTCTTTACCCATATTAAAACAACTAAATCTGCATCCTGCCAGCAGAACCTGGTGAGACCCAAAGCCCTGATGATTAATTGGGTACACACACATCAAGTATCTTCCATATAAAGTAAAATACAATTTTCATTACAAAGTGAAAGATTGCAAGAATTAATGCTGTTTGCGGTGTCACTACCTACAATTAGACAGGTTCAGATCAGATTTAAGGAAATGTTTTTTTTATTCCAAATCTCTGATACCTACTAATCCAGAAAATGTTTTCGACTGGTTGTTTAAGCTATATTGTGGTATGCTCACAGCCAGAAGTATAATAGGAAAGCTAGCAGTTTGGTGGTCAATCCATGTTCGTGAAGTGTGTCTATGGCCTAAAACTAAACATGTATGTGCTAAAGCATGTATCCTGAACATCACAGAGCTGTGGACTTTTCTCTAATATAACTGTTGACCCTGCCAGAAATGCAACTGCCATGGTGCTTCCTCTTTTCAGGTGACAACTCTCACACACAAACAATCCAATCGCTATCTGCATTGTCACTCTGAAGCAATCCTTTGCAAGTCTATAGGCACATTTGTCAACAGAGTATGTCCCAGGAAAATCACATTCATCAAACTGCTCTATTTCTCCACTCAATGAGACTTCAGTAACACTACTAACCACACAATCCAGCAACGCTTTGCTCCTTCACTCAACGTACTCTCATATGGCTCTGCGATGACAAGCTTGAAGGGGAGTGATCAGAAGTCTTATTCACTCTCCTTGCATCTGCCTCCACCGCTAATATAAAAAACAGGAGGTGTTGTTTTGTAGCTGGATGGACATCACTGTGACCTGTGGATGCAGCTACAACTTACAGGTGCACTTTGGAGTTGCCTAGAAAGTTGGGGCAGCATTCACTGTGGGCAGAAGGTTCAAGCTCAAAGTGGTTCTAAAGGTTTTAAGTTTTTCCTTTAATACATTCTTTAAGATGAAAAGCCTTCTGAGATCAGGACAACCCGCCCAATCCTTACCCAACCCCGATCTCAATCCAGCGCTGAGCATGAGAGCTGCGGCTCTCTCCTTCCTCATTGAGCAGACTGATAGCAGTAGCAATTGGCTCCCTGTGCTGTCAATAAAATTCTGTGACGAGAGAGTGGGGGGAGGGCTGAGCTGTGCACTGTGTATCTATAGATGTAAGCAGCATGGCTCAAGTCCATACATGTGCCAAAACAGGAAGCGGCTTCCTATGGTGGCACTAACTGAAGAGGTGGAGCCAGGAATTCCGGTGGGGGACCCCAGAGGAGGTGTATCGGGGCTGCTCTGTGCAAAACCACTGCACAGAGCAGGTAAATAGAACATGTTTGTGATTTAAAACAAAAGTCCGAAGACTGAATCACTTTAAAGTGTAAAACCTTTGTTGAAAACAAAAAACATCCCCCCTGGGTGATCAATGTACACTGCAAGGATTTTAACATATATTGCAGATTTTTCTTTTCTGAAGAAACAGCTTTGTTTCATCGTGTCCTTTCCAGGCTGATTCCTGAAGAGGAGGATCTGTGTTCATCATAACCACCTGTGCAAATCTCAAGGTTTTTTAATTATATACAACATTTAACAAAAGCAAAGTTTTTCTTTATTTTTCAAAAAACAAAGCAATAGGTAATAAAACAAGAGACATCAATGTATTAAAATGTAACAACCTAAATCTGCAAAGTGATTAAAATGTTTACATGTACGTTACCCTCTCAACTAGGGTCATAGGGTATGAACAAATTAGCAGGTAGAAGGCTTCTCTGCTCAACTGTTGGGCTTACTTTATAATAACGCGAGTACAGAGGCAGTCCAGTAGCATCACAGAGGAAAGCCAATGCTCCTTTTAATCGAAAGACATAAGTCGGGGGGTCTGGCGATTTTATACTTCATGCATACTACATATATTCAACAAGGGGGGGGGGACCCTGGGACAGGACATGCACAGCTGCCTAGGAATGTAATCCCTTGAGAATAGTGCTCACCTGGTTTTGCCTTGCAGGATTATGCAGCTGGGAAATGAATTAGTTTAGATAATCATGAGAGAAAGGAAATACAGCAATTAAGCACTGCAAGCATTAGTAAACTACACACTTGTGAAATACACTTCAACTTACGGGGTGTGTATGAGAATCTATGAGTCAAGAGCTGTCCAGCTACACAATGATTTATGCAAGTAACAATAACATTCAGCAAATAATTTTGAGCAAGATGGATGTGTATATAGTTTGAGAACCACATTTTCTATGAATGCAATTAATATTCTGTATAACTAGAGGAATTGCCTTTGCGATAGAAATTACAGAGGCAAGGCCCCTTTATGGTTTTGCAAGACAGCCGCATGACCCATAATTGCAGCCCTGGTTAATGGTAAGATAAAACCGAATACTACAGCAGAATCACTGTACAATGTAGATCGTGAACTTGCTCAATTGATATCTACTGTATCTATTACTTCAACCTTGCACAGTCATACAAAATACAGTCTGCCTTACTTCCTGGCACTAGGACATTTAGCATTATCTTGCTCTTTTCCCTCCAACCTTACTGTCCCTGGTCTGCACCTTTCATTTATTGGATTTCAGTTCTTTCAATCGTAGTGGCTTAGCATCATATGCAGGCGTTACCTAGGGCAGGCTGAATGCAAATGCAGCCTGCCTAGAATGCCCATTTCTCCAGACTTCCCATTCATGATCTCCCTGCACTGCACAGAAA